CTCGGGCGTCCCCTTCTCATCCTCCTCCTGCGCCTCCTCTCTCCCGCAGTGATCTGGCGGTTCGTGCAGGGCAGGAGGAGCAGCAGGAAGGCCGTGCTGTTGCTGGGCCTCTGCGACGCGGGGAAGACGCTGCTCTTCGCGCGGGTGAGCGGGGAGGGGGTGCCCGGTCCGGCATCTCTCGTACAGAGGGGAAGGCGCTCTCTTTAGTTCGGGTTTTATTCTCTTACTGAGACCTTTAAAAAGGTGCTTTGGAGATGTAAAGAGGGATGGAGACCGGGTTTTGTCTACAAGGAGTGTCAAAAGAAATGGTCTTTTGTTTCGAATTTGTCGCAGCAAAAAGTTTTTGGGTACTTGAACTCATCCAGGTCTGCAGCTTCCCCCCGAGGGGCAGCTCCGATCTCTGCTCGGTGTGAACGGGGACAGGACCCGAGGAAAGAGCTGGAGCTGTGTCAGGGGTGGTTTAGGTTGGGTATCAGGGAAAGACTCTTCCCCTAGAGGGTGGTTGGTCACTGAACAGGCTCCCCAGGACAGTGGTCATGGCCCCAAGGCTGACAGAGCTCAAGGACAACGCTCTCAGGGACATGGTGGGATTGTTGGAGTGTCTGTTCAGGGCCAGGAGTTGGACTGGATGATCCCTGTGGGTCCCTTCCAGCTCAGAACATTCTGAAAAGTCTGAAAATGCAAGGAGCACAGTTTTTAATTAATTGGGGAAAATGACCCTTGCAGTAAGTTCCTGCATGTAAACTGAGATCGGATCTCTGGAGCCCTTTACCCCTCACAGACCATCCCAGTTTCTGAGCAGATTAAAGGTGATGCCGGTGATTCAAAGCCTGGGCACTCCTTGGAGTGTTTTTTAAGCCTCTCAGGCTCCTTTTTGTGAGAACTGCCTGTTCCCCACAGCTGCTGTCGGGCAGATACCGGGACACCCAGACCTCGATCACCGACAGCTCGGCCACGTACCGGGTCAGCCGGGACAAGGTGAGTGCACAGCGAGGCTGGAATTGTCTGGGGCTGCTCCTGCCTTCTCCTGCTCCCTGTGCCAAACCTGGGTTGATCTTTTTCTGCTGCTCAGTCCCCCGTTTGCCTTGGGTGCAGGACAGGATTTTTCCAGGCAGTGCACGTGAAGAAAGTAGGGAAATGCTGGGATTTAGGGCAGGTTCTTTTTACTTTACTCCTCAAACAGTGAAACCTTTCTGGCTGAACACCACGGCTGTGGGGGCAGCATGAGGGAGATTTGTGAGGGGCATTGTTCAGTCACGGTTGCCCTATTTTCTTGGTAGTAATTTCTGGTTCTCCGACAAAAAGCTGAAATTAAAAGCTTCATCAGGCTTAAGCAGAGTCTCCAGCTGCACTTTATATGGTCTCAGAAAGGATTTTGTTGCTTTTAGGTCCTAGACTGCCACAGACCTGGTTATTTTCAGCTTATGGCAATTCTTTCATTCTGGAAAAGTCTCTTTCTCTTGCTGGGTGCACCTTAACTGCTGGGAAATCGTGAAAGTAGGGGGTGTTTGTGTGGCTTCTTGTCAATCTTCACTAAGTGGTGATAATAAGGTTAAAAACTTGGTAAAGGGCTTTTTTTTTTTTTCATTTTTTGTGTCTCTAAGATTGAGCAGACAAGCATTTGGAGGGGGAGAGGTAGTGGAATGCTGCAAGGCATTTCTTTTTTTTTTAAATGATAGACAAGGTTTCCATTAAAATCCAGGAGCAGGAAGGTCTCCTGTAGTGTTCCCTCCACTCTGGAGAACAAGGAGCCTTATCTGGAGAGCAGTGACGTGGACCTAGCTAGGCCATTCCTTCTCTTTCATGCCCTGGCTTTGGCTGTCAGGCTGTGGGAAGGGAAACATTTGCAGCTTTCAGATGAAAAAAAAAGTCTCTTGCAAAGGCACTTCTGTGTTATTCCCAGTGAAGTTTGGTGTACTTAGGAAGACTTGGTTCAGAGGGTTTATATTCTGTATTTGCAGGACACAAATCCAGGTTTTCCCCAGTCCGTGATCACAGGCACCCCCAGATCAGGTGGGGGTAACACCTTGTTTCTGTTCCCAGGGCACCAGTGTGACCTTGATCGACCTTCCAGGCCATGAGAGTTTGAGGCTCCAATTCTTGGAGAGGTTCAAGGCTGCAGCCAGGTAACAGGGAGGAGATTGGCAGGGCAGCAGGGGGCAGGGGATGTTTTGGAAAGGGATAAACTAAGTGCTGGTGCTGGGAATGCTGTGAGCTGTGCTGGTGGTGTCCTGACAGTCAGAGCTCTGCTGTGGGGTAATGGAGGGTAGTTTTTGCTTTGCTTTTATGGAATATATTGAGTTGGGAGCGCCTCACTAGGATCGAGTCCAACTCCTGACCCTGCACAGGACAATCCCAAAAATCACACCATGAATTCCTTGCTTTGCTGTGCTTGTAGTGTGCCAGGTGGCAATGCAGCTGCAGTGGGGAGGGTTGGGGGATGTGGAATATTCCTGGGGCAGAGAAGGAAGGAATTCCTGCTGGGGCTGGACATGGGGTGTGTTTCAGCCAGGAAATGCTGCTGCCCTACACTTGGGTTGGACAAGGTCAGACACAGAAACAAATACATCAGCCCAGGCTGGAATTCTGGCAGGGGAAGATGGATACAGAGCTGCAGCCCCAGCACATTTCTTCCCTCTCTCCCCAGAGCCATTGTGTTTGTGGTGGACAGCGTGGCCTTCCAGCGGGAGGTGAAGGACGTGGCAGAGTTCCTGTACCAGGTCCTGGTCGATGGCACCGTCCTCAAGAACGCGCCCGCGCTGCTCATCGCCTGCAACAAGCAAGGTGCCCTGGCCTGGGCCTGGCATCCAGCCCTGCAGGGAATGGGATTCATGCCATGGGTGCTGAACTCTGTAGGAGCTGGGATTTCAGCGAAGTGAAGGCTGGGATTTAGATTTAAACTCAGACTACTCAGCAGGAGCGTTTTTAGCATCACTGGAGAGACCTACAGCTCTTTGTGTGGGCTTAAGTAAGGCAGGTGCTTTCTGCTTGAGCAGAGCTGTTCCTCAGTCTCCAGGCAGCAGGAAATAGGATCAGCTTGAGCATAATGAACTATTCCTACACTCTCAGCAGCTTCAATGTTGAAACCAGTCATTTAGCTGCCAAGAGTCGTTTGGACTAGCAGGAACACCCAGTTACTGAAAAGGACTTGATTTTCAGATCCATACAGTTTTTACAGTGGAAGTGTGAATCCCCCTGTTACAATCTGAAGTTTTTGAGCAGTATCAGGTGTGGGTTTTGTAGCTGTTTTGTGCACTAGTTCAGGAGCTGCCTGAGGCCTTTGTGGCTCCACATGCCCTGCATGAAAGGTGCTGTGTGGAGCTCTGTAGTGCCAGGACAGGGGGGAGTGCTGGGGCATTATACCCCGTCCTCTGAAGCAGCTCCCTGTCCAGCAAGAAGGAATTAAATCCCTGTGTTGTATCAGGCTGTTTTGTTGTTCCCATTGTCTGTGATCCCAAAGCTCCAACATCCTTTATCCCACACAGGCACAGCTGTCCTCATCCCAATAACTCTGATGACTGCACAGCATGAGCTGGCCTTGCTTTAGGAGGGGGAACCAGCATTCTGAATTCTGACAGAAAGCCAAAGAGCTGATTTCCTTTTCTTTTCTCTCTCTAGATGTCACAATGGCAAAATCAGCAAAACTTATTCAACAACAGCTGGAGAAAGAGCTGTAAGTATGGAATGGGATCTTGATCCCTCTGAGCTTCTCCTCTTGTCTTTTCTCTTACCTCAGTGCTTGGTGAGCTCCCTTGAGCCATGTCTGAGTTCAGCTGGCAAAAAAGCAGTCTCTTTTGTCTGGGGGCTCAGCAGTGCTGGGTTTACAGTTGGGCTCGATGGTCTTAGAGGGCTTTTCCAACCTGAATGATTCCATGGTCCAGTAACCCCTTTGGCCAGCAGACGGCAGCAGGGATATTTGTGCTGGTTTCTCTCCCAGGCTGAATATCCGACCTTCCTGTTTTTAAGGCAGGAATTAGTTGCCACATATTCACATTCTCCAGGGAAATAAGCATTGCTTGGTTCTGGTGTTGAGCATTTTCCAGCTGCCTGTGTGCAGATGTTGGGTTTCTAGGCAGGTCACATGTGCCCTGTTACCACTGTTATTCCTGCAGGCTGGCAGATTGCTGCCATCCTGCCCTGGTAGCTGCCATACTCAGATGTTTATGAGTGGAAAACCCAAGGAAGTGTCTGCTCACTTATTCCTGAACTCTGGGTGTGTTATTTCCCTTTGCCCCTTTAATTTAGCTCCATTCTGTGAATAAGGAATATATGGGAGCAGTGGGGGCACTTGATCCCCCTCTCAGTCCCCAGATTGGCACACCCAGGTGCTGTGTCAGGGATCCTGCTGATCCCTGATGCCATAGGTGCCTCTCCCTTCCCAGTTAACCTGTTAAACTGGCACAGACCCTGAGGACTGTAGGCTAAATCTTGTGTAATTCCTGTGATCAGTGGGGAAATTGAGCTGAGGACATCATCACCTGACTCGTGCTGCTGTTTATTGCAAAACCAAACCTGCTCAAGCACCTCTCCTTGAGTGCCCTCCTGCATGTCTGGCTCTCTTGAGCCTCTGCACTTGTGACTTCCAGTAGTGGCCAGAGCTCCTGCCTGTGCCTCGCAGGGCAGAGCCCTGGGCCTTCTGTCCTTGGTGTGGCTGCATCCTGCTGGCAGAGCTGCATCCCAAGCATCTCAGCAGCCACAGTATTCCCCTGGTTCCCAGTTCCTGACCCTCTCCCCTCTCTCTCTGCAGCAATACCTTACGGGTGACCCGCTCCGCAGCCCCCACCAGCCTGGACAGCTCAGGGGGTCCTGCCCAGCTGGGCAAGAAGGGCAAGGACTTCGACTTCTCCCAGCTGCCTATGAAGGTGGAATTCGTGGAGTGCAGTGCTCGGGGCAGCAAGGGGGAGGAGGGAGATGCTGACTTGGAGGGCCTGGAGAAATGGCTGCTGAAAGTCGCCTGAACAGGGAAGGGCAGGGCTTGGGGGACAGGACACCTGGGGGCTAAAGGGAAGAAGATAGTCTGGAGCACTTAAATCTCATCTGGCTGTAGAAAGAAGGACCTGAAGCTGGAATTGAGCACTATGGGAGATTTTCCCAGATTGTGTCTCGTTGCACATTGCAGTGTCCTACTGCAGGAATATTTTCCCCTTTTTTTTTTTGTGGCTTTCTCTTGTTTTAGAGTTGAGGGAGTGGCTGGCTCCTGGCAGACTCTTGTTGTCCTTTGCAGACCCCTCCTCTCCAGTTTGGTGCTTCCTCCATCGCTCAGCTCATCTGTTGTGTTCTTTTCTTTGGGGCTTTCCCTGTCTCCCTGTAGCACTACCAAGTGTTGGGAAGGGCAGGAACAGCCTTCCCAAAGCCCTGTGCCCATAACAAAGCTGATCCTTGCATTTCTAGTCTTGGGAACCCAGTAACTCTTCCACTATCCATGCAGGAGGTGGGGAGGGTTATATTTACCAAGGATATTATATTCTTCTATTTCCTGCAGCCAGAGTCTTGTCAGAACACGTTTGTCATGCTTTGAGCTCCTTTAGCTGAAGATCCAGGGCTGCCTGCTTCAAATCCATGGTGCCCATGGTTTGGGGCAAAAAATTATTGGTTTTTTGGGTGGTTGTTCTTGTGAAGATGCATCTCCTTGAAAAGCAGAGGCCAAGCACCAGCCTCTGTGTAAGGGGGATGGAAAGGTACCAATGCGGCCACAATTGGTTTTAAGTTATTCTTTTTAAAAGTATTCCTGAAATAAATTTTTTTTTGCTTAAATGTTTGTTCTCAAGTCTTGCTTTAGTCTGTGTGTTTGCCTTGGCCCTTCTCGGCGGTGTCAGATCCAATTGGATGGGACTCTGCTCCTGCTCAGCATGTTTGGGATCAACCTTCCTCCTCCGTGGCCAGGTCTGTGTTGTCAAAAAGCACCCTCTTCTGCACACACAGGGCTTTGGGGTTGGGTGTTTCTGGGTGTGTGTTTGCACCTTAGTCTGAATGTCAGAGAACTGGGAAATTCATTGATTAATTGACAATCACATAGCAAAAAAATGACTGAAAAACGTTAAAAGGAGACACTTTGCTGACACACAGGGGAAAAGCCCAGCCAGCTGCAGGGCGTGGTGGTTTAGGTGACAGAGCACCACTGCTGTGCCATGGAGGTGACTGTGGCACCCCATGGCTTCACAACTGGGTGGAGATAGCTCAACTTTCCCTGCAGGGCTGTGTGGCTGAGCTGGAGCTGCTCCCAGAACTGCCCGTGCTGGAGCTGTTGCAGAGCTCCCTATGTTCTTTGGGCCTCACTCCATGACCTGCCTGTCAAATATTCGGGGCTGTTTTTCCCCAGTGGCTGAAGGAGAGGGAGAAGGGTAGAACTGGAAACTCTGAATGTTGTGTTCTTGGGGGTTTTTTTTCCCCTCAGTCAGCTTTGTGCTTTGTTCTTTGCTCTTCTGCCCTTGTTCCTAGTCTGGCTTTGTGCTGGCCAGGCATGATGCTCCTCAGCCACTGCAACTTGGCAGTGGTGTGTTGGGATGGCTTTGGCAGGACAGTGGGATAAACTCAGTCCCTTCTGCTCCAGCTGTGCTCACACATCTGCAGGGATTGAGGCTCTCACTGTGCTCTAAAGCTCTTTTGGTCAATGTTTTTTGCTATGGGTTGTGCTCCAGATTGTCCCCCTGGAAAAGGCAGATATTTTTGGAGGAGATCGATGAGCACAGTGAGATCTGGGATAGCAGAAACCAACTGACAGTGGAGGAGAGGTTGCTGAAAGGCGAAGAAAAGCAAAAATAATAATGCCTGGACATCAGCATCCTGAGGGTGATGGTTTCCAAGGGTGTTTAGGGAAAATCTGCCAGGTGGAGGGGGGACAGGAATAGCATGGACAGACTTCAATTTCATAGAGACTTGCTGATCCAGAGCAAATCCACCTCTCCTGCCCTTTCACTTGACTCCCTTTGTGAGCACAGATGCAGCAGGGCCAAGAGCACAGGGAAAAGAACAATGAACCTCTCACAGCAATGGGATAAGGACAGGGGCTGAGTACAGTTACCCAAGAAAACTCCTAAAAGAAAGCCCAAAGCTCATTGTACCCTGCCCAGAGCCCTCTGCAGTGTAGAATTTATATGATTTAAAAGTAGCTTCAGTGCTTGACATAAGTAGCTGCAATTGCTGGGCCACAGGTTGAACTTTAACTGAACCATGTGGCTGTGCTGTGTCAGTCAGAGATGGATCAGAGGGGAACCTGGGGAATCTGATCATTAATAATAGTAAAAATCGTTACTAATAGAGTAGACAAAGCTGCAGCTTAAATATTACTTAAAAATTGATAGCTGGAGCAAACAGCCCATAGATCGTGGTCTGTGAGCTGTAACAACCCTGTCACAGCGTGGAGTAACAGAACACACTGAACCCTCACCAAAACCCACCTCAGGGGCTGAAGCAACAGTTTGGTACCGTAACAGCGAAGCCATGAGGAGTGGAAAGGACTCCAGCCCCTGATATGGCTGTTGGTCAGGACTGTTGTGTGAGGGAGGGGGAATGAAGGTTGTAAGGGGATAATTGCCCAGGGATTTCTTTGTTCATGGTCCTGCTTTTGAGGCACCAGCTCGAGCAAGCAAATACCAGAATTGTCTGTGCCAAGAAATGTATCAAACAAGGGGAGAGCCTCAGGTCAAAAATTGCTGCTGCTTGCAGCCCTGTTCCTGTTGGACTCGGTGATCCAGAATATTCTGTGATTCAGCACAGCATCCCCCCTGCCTTGCCTGGCTGCTGGATCAGCTCAGGAGGTGGGGGGAGACCAGGGAACCACCACAGTTGGAAAAGTGACCTTTATTTAAAAAATAAAAAGAGCAACAAACCGCAAATGTTCTGCAACAAACCCCCTGTGATATACTTGTCACAATGCGTGTGCGGTGTCCATGCTGACCTCTGCGAGGGGTGGGGGGACACCGGGCAGTCCCTCAGGGCTGGCAGCCACATCCCTGCTCCTGTCCCAGCCAGGAAGGCACTACCTGGCTGGAAACGTCAAGCCAGAACAGGGACCATCGCCCACAGCAGGCACTTCTCTGGGTCCACGAGTTCCAGCCTCTTTCTACCTCCTGGTCCAGCTGCTGGGGGGCTGCCCCCTCCCCAGGGTGATGGGCAAGTGCAACTGGAGAGCCCGGGGGAAGCCGTTCCCAGGACGGGGCTGGCACGGAGTGTCCCTCGCCAGGAGCACGGCGGTGCCCTGGGCTGCAGGAGAGGAGCTCGGAGCTGCTGAGGTGAAGTTGCTCCCGAAAGAAGGTAAAACGAACCCAAATGAGACAAAGAACTGGCAGTGCATGGTGGGGTGTGGAGTCAGTCCCTGGGCTACACCAGCCCCGCTGCCTTCTCCTGCACGTTGTACTCCTTGCTCCTCTTCACCTTCCAGCTGATGAGGGCGAGCAGGACGGTGCCCACCACCTTGTAGCCCACCTGCAGCCCCAGGTATCTGCCAGGAGAAGAGCAGGGAGAGGCCGTGTCCAGAGGTGGCACCTTCAGCTGGCCCCAGGCTGAGCTGGGGACCATCCCTGTGGCCAAGGCCGCCAGGGGGGACAGGGCACAGGTGCCAGGGGTACCTGTTGCGGAGGAAGTTGTTGTTGTAGTAGGCACAGAACCGGCGCTGGGTGCACTGCTGCTGCCAGTAGATGCAGGACGAGTCGATGAGCGCTCCGAACATGGCTGGGGCTGGCAGCCAGGCTTGGGAGAAGAGAGGACGGAGTCAGGCTGCTGTCCCTGACGAGGTTCAACACCTCCTGGGGCTCCAGCAAACCTTCACTGCTCCCCTCAGTCTCATGAGGAGATGGACACTCACCCAGCAGCCTCATTAGTAAGAACTGGACACCGATGGCAAACGACTTCTCGTCCTGGTTCACCACCCTGCAAGGGAGAAGCCACGGGAGGTCAGAGTGGTGGTGCTGGCTCTGGGTTTGGTCAAGACTTGGGCTGGTTGCACATTTATGACATCCCATGGATCTCAACGTGGGGAACCATAACATCACACTCCCCCCTGTGACTCCTGTGTGCCCCCACCCACACCCAGTGCTCACCGTAACACCATCATGTAGAGGGGGTTGTGGGACAGGCAGGCGACCAGGGCAGCGAAGGAGATGAGGAATATGGCAGGTAAGAGCATGTCAGAGCAGCTGAGCGGACAGGAGCCTGAGTACAGCTCCTTCCCAGGGGGGATCTGGGAACAGTTCTTGTAGATCTGTTGGAAACGTTTGGAACAGAACAAACATAAGACTCCCAAAGCCAAGAGCAGGGATTTTAGTGACCCATTGGACCACAGCCCTTTGCAGGAGACCGATGAGAGCATCATCTCCAATTTTAAGGCCACAGCCATGGCATCCTGCAATGGGATGTGCCATCATCCCTGTTGCTCCAAGCAGACTCCCAGGAATTCTCCATGGCACCTTCCCAGGACTCCAGCTCCCTGGTAGACTTCCCAGCACACTGTGCCAAAAAGGTTCCACCCCCTTGTTGCATCTGTCAGGTTCCTGCAGCATCACTCCCCTGTCCCCAGCGAGCAAAGGTTCAGGCTGCTTTGCAAACCACGTGCTTTACTCACCACTTGGCTGGGGTTGGAGGAATTGATGGTGCTGCTGGTGCAGCCAGCGAAGCAGGGCGAGATGTACTCCACCTTGTTCTCCCAGCACACCGGGTGGAAGATGTGCTTGGAGCAGCGGCACCCACTCGGCTCCTTAACCTGCTGCTGGGAACTCAGTGTACTGCCAAAAAGGAGGAGGGAAAAATGGGGGAAAAATTAAGAAATAGGACAGAAAGAAGAAAAATAAAAGTCTCTCTTGCTAGTTGACCGGTTTTCCCGTTCCTGTTTGGACTGGGACACTGCCAGCAGCAGCCTGGCCTCCTGCCAGCCCCTGATCCCCGCAGGTACCTCTGGAAGTGTACAGTGAATGTCACAGGAATTATGTTATGTCTCCAAACAAGTACTCACACACTTCTTTTTTCCTTTTTTTTTTCCTTCCTTCCCCAGCTGAAAAGTAATTGGCCAAACTCCTGGAAAGATGGACCTGGGCTCCATCAGAGCTGCACAAGCAGCTGTGCGAACAGCCCCAGCTGGAAACACCACACAGACACAAACTGGAAGTGGGCACATTCCCAAACAAGCCTGATGACAGCGAGGACAAATCCAGTGATCTGTGCTATCTTTCCTTCATACCTGAGGGAGTGCATCTGCTAAGTGGCACAGCAAGAATCCTGCAGGAATGTGGCACAAGGGAGCTGTCCCTGGGCAAGGTGGGATGGGGCTGCTCCATCCCTGCAGGAAAATGGCACCAGAAACCCTAACCCTAACCCTTGCTGGCATTTCCACTAGGAAATGAGCACAATGCACTTGATATCAAGCCTTGGTGGTATCTAAATACCATTTTTATCTTAAAAAGTCATGGCAAGGGTCAAAAGTATCCACTGAGGTGCCGAGAAAGGTGATGTCCAGCTTGAACACAGGAAGCACGTGAGGTGATGTGGACACAGGCACTAATATTACTAATTTCCCCCTAAAAATCCAGAGTGAAAAATACATCCTGCTTGTCTGGCACAGAAAATCAGGGATAAATGACCTCCCAGGCTCTCTGTGCTGTGAATTGCATGGATCAACTCCAGGCAAATGGGATCAAGGAGCAAGCAGCAGCACGGCGATGTCTACTGCCTCTCCACCTGCGTGTATCCCTCCCCATGGGCAAGCGGGACAAAGGCTGGAGAAACAGGGAGCTGGGAGCAGCCCAACAACCTGCATTACCTGGGGGGGTAGATGCCCTCGATGTGCCCTGTGGAGCAGCCCATGAAGAAGATGGGGAGGCAGAGAAGGATGGAGAACATGAGCACCACCACAGCGAAGCGGGGGATGGCCCGCAGGGAGAAGGCGAAACGTTTCATGATGATCCCTCCTAAGAGCATCCCAAGGGCTGCTGCCGGCAGGTTCACGGCTCCTGCAGGGAAATGAGGGCATTAGGGGGGTCCTGCCTGCCCAGCACCCCTCCCTGGACAGGGGGTGCCTGTGTGGACCTCGTGGGAGCTGGGAGAGCCCACAAATCCCACCATTATCCAAGGCAGCCTAAGGCAGCTGGGAAACCTCAGGCCAGGAAAGTCACCAACCACCCCAAGGTGAACCCCAGGTCTCACTTAAAAATGAGCTTCCAGTGGCTTCTCCTGCAAGAATTTAAAAATTCTGGGGAATACAGGAGGGTGGGTCTGTGCTGATGGGTATTTTTTACCTCCATCCGTGCTCACCTATGAGGAAGTTGGCCTGGGAGGAGGAGGCACCGTACTGCTTCTCCAGGAATTTGTTGAGGAAAGTGGCCAGACCCGCAATGACCGAGGAGAAGCTGCACTGAGCCAGCACCAGGAGGATGAAAAGGGGATTGAGCAGCAGCCTGAGGAAGATCTTCGGGAATCCTATGGGGAAACAGCAGGAAAAATGACTTTTAGCCATGTGATCCTCACGCCAGCAACTTGTACTGGGAAAAAAACCCCACCCTTAGGCTGTTCCCAGCGAGGATGTCTGTGGGACAATGACGATCTGCTGGGGATGTCTGCGGCCATGGGAAAGTGGGATATGTCTTGGCAGCTGGCAGGACTATGGATGAACACAGTGTTTTCCTGGGGGTACATTGTGTCCCCCGGCTCTGTCAGCAGAGGCAGACAGACTCCAGGCTCCTTGGGGCCAGCTCTGTTTATTTGGTCTCTAATGAGCTTTTCTAATTAGCAGAGAGTGCTGGGGAGAGCCGGCATCATCCATCAAAACCCTGTTGAGATGGAGAAGAGGGAGCTGGCAGCTCCAGGATATGACTGTGGTGGATGGAGAGGGAAGGAGAGAGGAGGGCCTTTATTTGGGAAGAAATCGTCATGGAGATAAAGGGAGTCATTAATCTGGTCCCTCACCATTGGCATCCCTCTCAAGCCCATTTTGGCTACACATAAACAGAGCAGTGTCAGCTGCAGTGGGGTGACCTCCTCGAAGGGGGGGCTGGTGGCGCCAGCAGCCCCGTGCCCACCCCTGGAGCTGGGGCCCCTTTTCCAGCACACACCATTTTAAGTTCTTCAAACCAATCATCAAAAACAGCTCAGGCCCCACAGACTGCTTAAAGCAAGAGGAAGGCTGTGTCCCCCTTCCCTTAGGGCAGGGCATGCTGCAGCCCTGGAGGTGCCAGAGCTGGCCCTGGCATTGCCACACAACACCCCTCGGCTTGAGATACCATCATGGAGGTCCCCGCCCGCCCACCCTCGCCTGGACGTGCCAGCCCTTTACTTTTTATAAACTCCAGCAGGGAGGTCTCTTCAGCTGCCCCTGTCTCCATCTTCCTGAGCATTCCAGCCTCCCCGTTCCGGTCCTGGAGAAGGGGAGAGGGGCAGGCTGTGGTGAGAGGGGGGCACCCATGGGTGGTTGGCACCATCCTGGGGCGCAGCGAGGCTGCAGAGGGGCAAGGTCTGTCCCAGGTGCCTTTCAGCCCCAGCCAAGCCTGATAATCACAGCAAAGCCCCATCCAACCTGGCCCGGAGCACTTCTCTAGGCTGGGAGAGCTGGGAGTGTCCAGCCTGGAGAAAATAAGCCTCCAGGGAGACCTTAGAGCCCCTTCCAGAGCCCAAAGGTGCTCCAAGAGAGCTGAAGAGTGACTTTGGGCAAGCCATGGAGTGACAGGACAAGGGGAGAATGGCTTCCCACTACCAGAGGGCAGGGTTAGGTTGGGATATTGGAAGAAATTCTTCCCTGAGGTGATGAAGCCCTGGCACAGATTGCCCAAAGAAGCTGTGGCTGCCCCTGGATCCCTGGAAGTGTCCAAGGCCAGGTTGGATGGGGCTTGGAGCAACGTGGGCTAGTGGAGGGTGTCCCTGCCCACAGCAGGGGATGGAACGAGATGAGCTTTAAGGTCCTTTCCAGCCCAAACCACTCTGGGATTCTATGACTAAAGGGGTGAATTATCTCAAACTTCACTGCAGCCCCTGAGCAGAGTGGCAAGACAGTTTTTCCTGCTTGGAGAGGCTTTAGGAAGTTGGAAAGCTTTCCTTTCCTGAACCCTGGCAAAAGACCTCTCTTTTAACTGTGCAAAAAGTCTGAAAGTGAAAGTTGGAGTCAGCTCGGCTCAAGACTCGTGAGTCCTTTAGCCATAACCATGAAATATTTTGGTTTTGATTTTGACCTCTAAAGAATGGATGATTAAACAATTTCAAAACAGAACTCAGTTACTTTTGTGACAAAACCAGATTGGGGCTTGGCTTTGAAAACACCAACATGAGAAATTTTAATAATTTTGCATCTTTTAAAATCTGTTTTAATGAAAGGTTTGCTGGGCTCTCTTCCTCCCCCCCCACCCCCACCCCAGGGACAGGTATTCCCTCCCCGAGCGCTTCCCTGCCTCCAAGTCATTCCAGCCTATGGAGATGAGGTCTCACCTCTCCTTTCAGCATGTACCGAGGGAAGAAGAAGTAAGGGATGGAGGTAAGCACCAAGCAGCCTGAGGAGATCAGCAGCCCCAGCCACCAGGCTCCGATCCACCGCTGGTCCCCCGGCATCAGGCGCAGTGTCGCTGCAAGACACGAGGACACACTGTAAGAGCTCCAGGGGTAAAAGGGGCAAATGTCCATGAAAATATGGACTGGTGGAACAGAAAGGGTCCTGTGGGCACAGCTCAAGGATCTCTCCACTGGCATGGAGGAGCAAATGGACAGAGGTGGAAGCTCCCACCGACACTGGCAGCAAGACCAGCCCTGGTTGTGTTTTCCTTTCCCTGGCCAGGACCCTGCACAGCCACTCATCCCAACTGTGCTGAGCCTCCCAGACGGCTGCAGGATGGATTTAGTCAGCATGGAAGCACACTGCTGGCACAGGTTCAGCTCTTCCCCTTTCGAGCCAGCCCATCAAGTGGAGATTACAGGGTCCAGCTCCATCCTCCTCCTCTGGGAGTATACAGTGGGTTTGGAACACGCTGCCTGCCAGGGATGCTGAGCCAAGACAGGGACCAGGAAAGGCCGCAGCTACTTTCCTGGAAAAAATTGCTCTCCCATTGTTCCAGGCTCAGTCACTCTGTGGTTGCAGAGACCAAGGGAAGGCCCCGTGCCGGCAGACAAGCGCTGCTAATGAGCCCCATATCCGAGTGGACGAAACCCTGGGCGCCTTCTCCGGAAACAGGAGGAGAAGGTGAGAGCTGCTCCGTCTCCAGCGGAGACATCCTTGGGCTGGGCTGAGAGATGCTCACGGGAGGTTTGACAGATTGCTTGGCTTGGCATGGGGCCCACAGCTCCCCGTGGCCGGGATGTGGTGGCTGGAAGGAACCAGCGGCAGGCTCCAGGTGGGAGCCCTGTGCCAGGGTGTGGCAGGAGAGGAGCCCACATCCCACTGGAACAATCATCCCACTTCCCCAAACAGGACCACTCCACTCTGGAGCTCGGACATTATCATGGAGTGACCAGGCAGAAGCTGCCAAATCCGTCTGCCCTCGCGGGGAGCGGGCCAAGGCTTTTTGGAGCTTCCTGCCCAGGTTCATTTGTTATTCTTATCAGGCATCGGACAAAAAGTCAGGCAGGCTCTGATCTCTCTGAGGAAACACAGGAAGAGCCACATAAATGATGGAGCTGGGGAGAATTCTTCAGTGATTAAGTTACCAGAAATAATAAGCATGTGCCGCTGATAAACAAAATTATCCCTGCTGTGGCGCCGGCTTGGTCCCTCTCTCTCTCTGCCGATGCTGGTGAAGGGTGGTGGGGAAGAGGAGGAGTAGACTCAAGCCTCCCATGTATCCATAGGGCAACAGTTGCCCTATAGTTGTTTTCTCCATCCCTGGATGCTTCAGTTGTCCCTGCTCCTCTCCACCACCGTGCTGGGGTTGTGTGATACCTCCTCAGTGTGGTGGCAGTGGGCAGACCCAGCCATGACAACCAGTGCAGCACCATGAGTTGGGCTTGTCCCTACCACAGGCCTCTGCTTCAGTGGTGGCTTCAAGACCAACTGTATCCTTCTTCATGGGATGATGGAGTAGAGGAATGTGGTCTTTCCATGGCAGTGCGTTTTACAGGTCACAGGACTGGTGGCTTCTGTCACCTTTGGTTTCACAGTGACCTTCTGACTCAGAGGAGGTTTTTAGGACCATCACTACTTGAGAAATACTTACCAGTGTCGACCCTCCCGATGTCCACGAATAGCCGCAGCACCACAGATCCCAGCAAGTATCCAAAAGCTGGGCCAAACACGGCGATGGCAAAGAGGATGGCTGGGAAAAGGGAGCAGGGAGAGCCAGTGTGAGCAGGGAATAGTAGTTCCAATGCAAATATGGCTTCTGTCTTCCCAGGTGAGGCAAGAATGATAGTACTACATACAGAGGGGGGAAACCACCCTTTAGCACCTGGTAGATGATGAGAAGGTGCCCGTTGCTCAGCCACTGAAGGTGGTGTTTATCTAACAGGAACAGGAGGGGGAAGGCAGCTGCTGCAGGAAAATGTCCCTCTGCTCTGCTGCAGTCAAGGTTTTTCTGGGACACTAAAAGTTGTCAGCTACACCGTGAATATCTGTGATCCACTGGGACAAAGTGAGGAACCCCTGGGAGCAGCAGGACGGTGGCGTCCTGGGCTCCCACAGGTGATGGAGACCTTCACCTCCTACAGGAGGCCAGCAAAACAAACCCATCCCAGTCCTCAAATACAGGCACAAACCTTTGGTGCAAACATCAGGGGAAGTGAAAGATTCTGAGAGCAAAAAGGCCAGCAGACCACCCTGGGTCCAGCTGAACCATCCTGTTCCAAAACAGACAACCTGCACCCAACCCGTAAGGTCAGAATGTTTCCTTTTGACTCATTTGGAGTGAAAGGATCCAAGTTCCCTCCTTGAAAGAAACACTTTGCACAACATTCTTAAACTATTCAAAAGGAAACAGTGTCTTGAACTGCACCATCCATAAAATGAAGCCAGACTCAGGGCGATGGCATTTATCTTGTACTGAGGCAACCTGGACCTTCAGTAGCCCTGAAGTGACCATCTGTATTATACACAACACACCAGTCCCATTTTCTTCATCTTCAGAACCTTTCATGGTCCTTCAGTCCCCTTTCCTTCATTTTCCTTACAGGTCTGGGAATTCAAATGTCACTCAGAGGTCATGGGAACAGCAGCCCCTCACTACAGGGGGAAGACAAGGATGCTTGGGGCTTGGAGCAATCTGGTCTAGTGGATTATGTCCCTGCCTGTGGCATAGGGTTGGAACTAGATGACCTTTAAGGTCTCTTCCAACCCAAACCATCCTGGAATTCTATGATTCTATCCCTGCTTTTACCAGCCCAATTAGCTGAGAGGAGTGAGCAGTACCCACACGTGAGACTCTGCAGTGCTCTTTGGTGGTGTGGCAGAACTTTCCCGGAGCAAAGCACTCCTGGGAGGGTCTGGAGACCCTGCCAAGCACTCCAATGCTTGTCCAAAGCCTGTCCTTGGGAGTTTAGTTCCAAAGGTTTTCCTTCTCCTCTAGTGCTTACCTTATTTTGGGACATCCGCTTTCAACTCCTAAATCTGACACCTTTGGCTGCTCTAGAGACATTGTTTGGCACCAGGAGGAATCAGGTTTTTAAATAACTTATGGACTGAGCTTAAAGCTCACGTAGGCAGGTCAGCACCAGATGGGGTTTGACATTCATAGGAGATAAAACACAATTTGATGTGGAAGCCAGGACCTCTCTCTTTGCAATCAAGAATTCCTCCTGAGCCTGGGAGCCCACATCGGGCAGGGACCAATTCCATGGCAAAAGTGTTGATTTTGGACCCTTGATACAAAACCTGTGTTAGTGGGCTCTTGCAGGCTATCATATTGCTGGTTAAACCATGACCAATCAATGCTCAATAAGAACAGGAGATGGTCTCTGAGAAGCTTTCATTGCAACTTTTCTCCCCCGTGAATGGCACAGGATCTCACAAATGCAAGGGAGAAGTCCCAGCTCATCCATCTCATCTCCTTGCCCTGATTTTTTGGCTTCCTATCACCCACTTCATAAACATAACCCTACAGAGAACAGCTGACTGTCAAGGGGAGAGACAATCTGGCTTTTTAATCAGGGAGGATTTTGTCTGAGTCCCTCTGGCTGCTCAATCTGTGTCCATGGATTCCTCTCCAGATAAATACCTTGATATCTCACCTGTAAGGTCTGGAGGAGACAAAATACACAGCAATGGTCCCACTTACCAACGTACAGAGGGGAATTGTTGGCCTCTGCGAAGTCATCCACATAGGATATCCCAAAGGGCTGGATGGGGACAGTCCCGATCCCGGCCAGCAGCTGGGCAATGACCATCATGGCCCACATGCTGTTGGCCTCCTTCTGGGGGTCACGAGTGGTGTTTGGGCACACAAACTTATTCTCTGGATAGCAGAGCTCAGCCTGCCCCTGGCTTTTGTTACCTGGAAGGGAGAAAAATGAGCATTACAACACAGGCACATCCTCTGCCTCCTCCCACACTAAATCACAAAATAGCAGGACTCTCCAAACCTGCTGGATTTTGGATGGATTGCTCATTTTATTTACAGTTCTCCTTGCTTTGCCCTTCCTTTGGAGTATTACACTGAGGTCAGGGCAGCAAACAACCAGGCTGTGATTTTAATCAAACTTTTAGAGTTCATGGGATGGAGTTCTCGGTTTAATGAGGGCAAACCTAACCCATGGCTGGTTTTTGTTATCTGTGGTCTTTGCTCCCCTGTGGTACCCGGGCAGGAACAGGGGGTGATGCCTTCTGGGGTGACCTGGCTTCCCTGAAGACACTGTCCCTGAATCTCCATTGCCCTCCTTGTTCAGGTTCCTTCCAAAACATGGTTCTTGCTTCTTCATACAGTCCTCTGAAGACCATGGGGAGGTCTTCAACCTGCTCCAAACCACTGTGAAAACTCCAACCTGGACTGGAGCATCTTCATGGGCTGTTGATAGGGTTAATTTGTTCTTTTCCATTGCCCAGCAATCCTCATAATATCTTTGCCCTGTTAGTCTATTTTTGCACAGTCCATCCTCTAATCTTATTCAATTTAGTGAAGTTGTTCTGCAAGAATTGCACCACGTGCAGAACTTCAGGGTCAAACACAGTTCTTGGTGCTTCCCTTCAACCTTTTCAGTGATTCCTGATTATAATCATACCTCCATGGCTGTACACAAATTTAACACCAGTCAATCAGGGCATCAGCATTACTTGACCAACTCATTCTCCATATAATTCCTGGCCAGTTTCCTTACTGTTGTACAGAACTACCCATACAAGGGAGCATATAGAGCATAAACACTGAGTCAAAACTCACAAAGCTCTGGGCAGGGAGCAGGGTGATACCTGATCCTTCCTCCTGTTTCCTTCACAGTCAAAGCAGCCCCTGTCCCAAATCCTGACCTGTTCATAGCCTGGTGCATGAATTTAAGCTGTTGGAAAACTTGGCATCTGATGCCTGATTTACTCTCCAAACTGTCCGACTCAAAAGCCTTGGGGATGGGGACCAGCAGAGAGTTGGTTTTTGGAGGTGGCAATCCCTGAGGAGACTAAGGCTCATCGGCATCCAAGGATCTAGGTGCTGAAGTCACTTAGGAAAGGCCAAAGCCAGCCTTGTGGCAGGTGATGCAGGTGATGCTGATTACTCTTTCAGCAAAGAAAATAGAGTGTCATCACACACATGAGCTTGTTCCCAAAGCCTGCCCAATTAAACTAGGAGCCTTCCTTAGTGTGGATCATAAGGCTTATAGGCTAGAGCCTATAAGAACAGGCCCTGGGGACGGGAGATCTTTGCTCTATCATAGGAGGGTGGGGAGGCCCTGGCACAGGTTGCCCAGAGAAGCTGTGGCTGCCCCATCCCTGAGAGTGTCCAAGGCCAGGCTGGATTGGGCTTGGAGCAACCTGGGCTAGTGGGAGGTGTCCCTGCCCATGGCAGGGGGTGTAACGAGTTGATCTCTAAGTCCCTTCCCACCCAAACCATTCCATGATTTTGTGACCACAGCACAGCTGGAATAACATACCCAGGAGAGGCAGAAGGGATCCCACATGTAACTACTGCACTCAGAAGGGGTTTCAAAAACATAATGAACTCAGGCTTAATTAGCAAATTCTGACCTCAAGTCTCTCCCCAAAACACTGTGTCTAAATTGTGTGCGCACTGGACACAACCCCTCTCCTTGGGCAGTCCCACCCTAGCCCGGAGTGCCCAGAAGTGGTTCTGTGGTGGCACAGCTCATGGTCCTTACCGGTGCTGAGCGTGGTGTACTCGTAGGGGTCCGAGAGGAAGTGTGGCAGGGTCACCAGGAAGGCCCCCAGCGCCAGCAGCAGCCCCCCCACGCCGATCACCCGCGGGCGGTGCACGCGGCTGCCGAAGTAGCTGACGAAGATGATGAGGACCACGTTGCCAATCTGGAAGTGTCAGAAGACATCACAGAGGGTGTTAAGACCTTATAACTGTGCCCAGTTGGGTGGAGAGCTCTGTTATCTGGTGGTGTTTGACAGAGCAGGAGCGGCGCAGCCTCCACTCTGCACGCTCACAGCGAGTCAGTGCTCCCTTCTCACCTAAAACCAGCAGGGCACCTCCTTGGCTTCTGCCACCTCTGTGCATCCCTTGTTGTCATGAACAACTTCACAGCCTCCCTGTGGTCTGCATGGGGTTTCTTTCAGTACCCAGAGCTGTCCCCCACCCCACAGGAATCACAGAATCGTTAAAGTTGGAAAAGCCTTCTAAGACCATCAAGTCCAATCATTCACAGCACTGCCAAGGCCACCACTAACTCATGTCCCCAGCTGCCACATCCACATGGCTTTTAAATCCACCACTGTCCTGGGCAGCTGTGCCAGGGCTGGACAACTCTTTAGAGGAAGGAATTTTCCCCCATACACAAACTAAACCTTCCCTGGCACAACTGGAGGCCATTTCCTCCTGTCCTGTCACTTGTTACCTGGTAGAAGTGTGACACAAACTATTTCCTACAAAACACATCAAGAAATGAAGGGTGTTGCCTCCATTCCTATGACTCAAACAGACACAAGCCCAGCTACAAGGTACAGCTCACTGCAAATATTTGTGACTCTGGACATTTGCAACTGCAGATGCAATCAGCTAAAAAGCCATGAAATCACTCAGTTCACTCAGGCAAGTGGATGAACACCACAAAATTACCATTCAAGGGCTTTGCCAGCCTGGGACAAGCTGGACATGATTTTAACTTTGGCATGTTGGAGCTGTCCTTGCTCATTGCAGGGGGTTGGGTTAGATGGCCTTTAAAGGTCCCTTCCAACACACGATTCTATGTATGGCTAAGAAAACTTTCTATTTATGTTTACATGGGCTTCCTTGCTTGTCTCTCCGTGGTTTTTGTTCTTGGAATTACTGCAGGCACCAATGCAAAAAGGCTGTTGTCCCAGACAGGCTTGGAAGTCACAGCCAGTAGGGAGTCTCAGTAGGCTCTGAGACAGTCTTTTTAACCCCAAATGTAGGTGCTGGCTGAGGTAAGACCATTCACTTCCCCAAGGACCTAGCAGGATTCCTAGTGCCCAGATTCCTGATGGAGCACCCCATGTGCTCACCAGGGAGCTCATCAGCAAGGTGAGCTGCCACCAAGCACTTTGTCTCTGAAAGCAAAATAAAGTCTCCCCCTGCACGTCTTTTCCTAGTTGGCCTTGAGGAGCTACCAGGAAGGATACAATTCCTGACAATCTGAATGTGCAAACTTATTCCAGAGGAGTTATTGACTGGAAAGGGTTTGTGAGGAAATCCTCAACCAGCTCAGCAACTTGCCTTAAACTGTGACAGAGGGTGGGATTAGATGGGATATTGGGAAGAAATATGAGGTTTGGGAGGCCCTGGCACAGGTTGCCCAGAGAAGCTGTGGTTGCCCCAGCCTGGAAGTGTCCAAGGTCGGGTTGGACGGGGCTTGGAGTAACCTGGGTTAGTGCACATGGCAGGGGTTGGAACTGGATGAACTTTAAGGTCCCTTCCAACCCAAACCATTCTGGGATTCTATATCCAGTGAAAGTCAGCTCTTGGCCACAGGGCCATCACCATATAACCCTACATTCACCCTCCTGGCAGGTGGTAGAGCAGAAGTGAAGTGTGAAGAGGTGTCCAAGTGCACAACAACAGCTGCTTCATCCAGCACACGTGGGCATGGCCAAGGAAGCACTGGGTGTGAACAACCCTGACAGCCTATTTTGGGAAGGTGCCCCCCGTGCTCTGGCCACTCCCAGTTACCTCATGCAAGCTGGAGATGAAACCTGAAGAGAGACTGGAGAGCCCAAAGCGCTTCTCGATGGTGGTGAGGCTGCTCTTGAAGTTGGCACTGTAGAGGAGCTGGGAGAGCTGGAGAAGCCCGTGGCACAGCACAAACACCTGTGGGCAAACAAAACGTGCCATGCCAGTGAGAACCCTGTCAGAATCATAAGCTCATTAATGTTGGAAAAAATCTCCAAGATCATCAAGCCCAACCTTTGACCAAGAACCGCCATGGCCACTAAACCACATGGCAAAGTGCCACGTCTACGTGTTTTTTGACGACTTCCAGGGATGGTGACTCCACCACTTCCCTGGACAGCCCATTTCAATGATTAACCACTCTTCCAGTGAAGAAATTGTCTCTAATATCCAATCTGAACCTCTCCATGCACCACTGGAGGCCGTTTGAGGCCGTAGTGCCCGGCTGCTGCTGCATGACTGCTGGTGATCACACCCTGCGGGAGTGGACTCGAGTTGGCTTTGGCCCCTCTGAGTTGGAACATCCTTGGGTTCACTCAGCTGTAAAGTCCATTAACAGACTCTGCTCCAAGGGCTGTTACTAGAAAAAGTTGAAAAAGGGTTTTAAAATCCCCAGAGGGAAAGGATGAAATATGCACATGGTCTCACTACTGGAAGACCTTTGTAGTATTTCAAAAACAGCATCTTCCCTTGAGCCAGGCTGTGAGCTGGGCCAGGAGCAGAGCTGCATGGAGGCAGAGGAGGGAAAATAGAGAGAGTTTAGGGGGCAGGGCAGAAACCTTGTCCAAAGAAGCCGGGTGGCCTGTGAGAGGAAGGCGCTCTCAGTCAGGGATGCAAGAGGCAGCTCACCAGTGTCTTTTGATCTATATTTAGGCAGAACAGTTTTTCTTTATTTTTCTTGGAATGAAATGCCTCTACACGGTGCCAAAAGTATTTCAGAATTGTTAAAAAAAAAGATAAAAAAAAAAAGGAAAAGGTCTTTTTTTTTTTAAATTCATAGGAAATCAAATATTTGCTGAATACCGGAAGAGTGTCCCACAAAGATAACGGCGGGAAGTGCAGGATGATGGATGGGGGATCAAAGGTACTGCAGGGCTGACAAATTCCTGATGTCTTTGGCCAGGAGAGCAGAGATACTCCTTATTTGGAAGGGTGGTAGCACCCAGGAGCCCTGACCCCTTGAGTGATGAAAAAAAAAATAAAATCAAAAAACACCAAAATTGTCCACCCAACATGGAGGATGCAAATTCCACAGGTGGGTGGAGTGGTGTTTTGGGGAGCAGAGGAGGATACCAGGTCCAGCAAATGTGGTAGAATTTGGGTAGAAGGTGGGCAAGAAGATGGTTTCTTTGGAAGCTTCTCCTGCAAGGGAGGAGAGCTCCAGCCAGAAGACCTGGCTGGGTATCTAAAAGCATTAAGGGATAGGAGAGATGCTGACAGACAGGAGACAAGAGGATGGAGATGAAGGGAAGGAGAAAATGTAGTCCTGACAGTGCAAGGGTAGGCTGGGAACAAACCTGGAGACCACAGGAAAGTCAAAGGAGACAGGCAAACACCCCAAAAATGAGGAAAGAAGGCTCACAGGGACAGGTTGCCACCACGGACTTCCCAGCCACATCTCAGAGGGGTGACAGCAGACAGGCTGGTACCTGGCTGGCGTCTGGCTGGCGTCTGGCTGGCATCTGGCTAGCATCTGGCTGCCTGGTAACCAGGTAGGAGGGAACAAATTCCCAGGCTGGGACTTTGCCCTGACAAAAAGCCACAGAGCAGTGACATGGGTGTAACGTGGGAAATCCTCCCAGAAAGGGACAAAGTGGAAGTGAAATATCTCCAGTGAATTCTTGAAGCAGAATGACCTCTCCACCCTCCAGCTATCAACTCCCACACTCAAAACCCCATCCCAGCACACGGTCCTGCGGGTGGTAGCTGGATCCACCACCCTCCCCTTCCCCAGCCCTGAGCTGGGATCACCATGGGCTGGTCTGGAGCAGAGAGGTGACTCCTGCAAGGATGGGAACTGGAGGAGGGATCTTGTTGCCTGAGAACATTAATTTTTGTTCCTGCAGCTCTGGCCAGACCCTGCTGAAGCCTCTGGAGTAAGGAAGCACCAGCTAAACAGTAGCAGGGACCTCCTGAGCTGCAGAGCAGCTGGAGGCAGAGTTCTCCCGTCGTGAGGCGTCAGTTGCAGAGGCAGAGCTGTTTACCAACAGGGAGGGAAGAGGGTGGATCACCCAGGCCTAATTTAGTGTAGCAAACGTCAACCCAATCCCAGGGCAGATGGAGAGATGAAGTGTTGGAGAGAGAGAATGGAAGGACGGAAGGGAAGATGAGGAGGAAAGGCAGCTTGACATCCCAGAATGCTGGAGTTGGAAGGTGACGGGGAGAAGATGGAGGTATGGAAGGACCATGGGAACCACAGCAGGAAAGGAGAGGGACAAGCCATGGTCAGAGAGGGCAGGGGGGAGAAGGCAGATCTGGCAGGAGTCGAACCAAGATGTGTTTATGCCTTGGTGATAACCTGGGCATGGCCAAAATGGAGCCCTGGATCCTGAGATGCTTGGGAGCAAGTTGGGGCTGCCTGCTCCCCATCCCATGAGGAAAGACAAGGTGGGAGAAATGCAGCTGGAGAGCATCCATGAAGGAAGAGGAATATTTTGGGTGTGGCTGCTTCCCCCTGCCCATGAGTCCTTCTAATCTGGCTCCTGTGAGTGGAGTTAACTGGAAAGGCAGCAGAGCCAGAAGGATGCTCCAGGGATCCATCCCACCCTGAGACCACACAGCAGCCTCGGCCCTTGGATGTGGAGAGTCCTGAGGATGGGATGGGAAGGGCAGGGGAGATTTTTTTTTCCTTGGGAAGAAACTGCCACCCAGAACAGTTGGAGCAAAGCAAAACAGCCTTTGCTCTGGGATTTGTGCAGCTGGAGCTTGGCTTTCCCAGACGCACTCCGACCCTCTGGAGGTGAGAGCTGTGCCTGATTTAAGACTTCCCCTGCACTCAGCAGACTCAGTTTTAATTAAAATAACGACAGCCCAAACCTTGAAGGCTCTGAGTGGAAATAGTTGGGAGAGGTGATTACTTGGAGGGCTCCCCAAAAGGAGCCTGTGAATGCCCCGAGTCTGGTGGAGATGGGGGCACCACTCTCCCTGGTCCCCCCGAAGGTCCTCAAGGGTCTTTCCCATCCCTGTCCTTCTCCCCACGCGTTCCATCCCCACGTGTTCATGCTGACCACCCACAACTCGCTGGTCCATGGAAATCAGCCCCGACCTGGCCCTTCCAGCTGCAGAGCACTGGATGTGCTGCGCTGACCCCACGCACCCGCCTGGGAGGGGACAGAGCTGGTCCTGGGAGGGGACAGAGCTGCCACAATCCATCCTCCTTAATGACAGAAAGGGGCTTTTAAGGAAGAGCTGAGCTTGTTTGCCGGGAGGTTTCGCTGAAGCAAAGCCAAGGCGAGGGTGAAGGCACGGTGGGAGGTTAAGGAGCTGGGGACACTCCCAAGTGCTGACCCTCCGGAGCAGATGCTCCCATGAGAGCCTGGTGGATTTTGGAGGCTGCAGGCTAGGAGCAATCGCAGACAGCCAGGGAGCAGCACAGAGAGGCGAAAGGCATGTACCCACATGCATCCACACACAAAATCCCCTCTTAATCATCCCCACACTTCCTTTGGAGCGCCGAAGAAATCCTGACTCCAGGCTGTTTATACAAGACACTTGACTCCTTTCCAAGATGAGCTTCGTTTAAAAAGGAAACAAACTCCTGGGGAAGGTCCCTGGCAGACAGGCTGTTGCCCCCACCCAGCTTGTGGGCACCAGCACCTCCCAGGACAGTGCTTTTTCCAAAGGAAGATAAACCCACCCTACTGCAGGGAACAGAGGGGACTGGTCCTTCCATGCTCTGGACAAGGAGAGCTGGCAATGATGCGGTCAATCCCTACCCAAGCCTCCTTCAGAGAAGATGTGTCCAACAAATATTTAGATTTCCTTTCATTTCAAAGTGAAATGAAGGTGAAACACCTCTATGGAGCCTCAAGGAGCCAGGAGACTCCTCCAGGAGCCAGGAGAAAACCCCTCCAGGTGGGAGCCTGGCTGTGCTCTGCAGGGATCAAGGGTTTGGGAAGATGCTGCTACCTGCAGCATGGTTACTGTTCCTTCCTCTCTGCCACCTGGAGGAGGGAGTTAAGGGTTAATTCCTTGCTCTGCTTCCCCAGTTCATGTCCAAAGTCATCTCTTGCCTCATTTTTCAGTGTCTTCCCCTTGGCAGGCCTGGCTGGAGACAAAAAAGGTGTAAATGCTGTTGACACTGGTGCTAATCCCTGTGCCCAACAGCCTTCCCACAGCAGTGTGAATGGAAAGAGCCAGGGCTTTGTTAGATGGACACATGGACTGCCTGGGGAGCAGAGTCCCTCACAGTCTCAGGTGACTGATGACACCGAGGTAGGACATTGCCCAGAGCAAAATTAATCTGGCTGGAGTAAACCCTGGAAAAGAACTAGGAACAAGGATGCTCTGTTAGCTCTTTCCCTACACATGGCACTACTGGAGTTGCATTTTAGGCTCCAGAGAGCCTAAAATTGTTTCACTGTGGTGGAAAGTCAGGAGGCATTCCTCCCAAAGGAGACCCCAACTTGCCCACATCTGAAGGCTCCTCCCACTTTAATCTCCTAAACTTCCAAGAGACAAAAAAAAAAAAAAAAAAAAAAAAAAGGGGGGGGGGAACTGTAGGAATTAATAAGAATACCCCCAAAATTTTAAAAGAGAGAAGACAAGCTGTTTATTTTAGAGCTTGTATATGATCAACTCTGGGAGACTCTCCTGCAGTAGGACAGCTGAGAACACTCAGTCCAAAAGAAATATATCAGCTGGAAAGGGAAAGAACAGGGAAATGCATCCCTTCTCGGCATCACTTTCCTATGGGCAGCTGCCTGGATTAGAGATCTAAAAGCACCATGAAAGACGAAAAAAAAAAGCAACAATCCCACAGAAGGAACCAAATACCCAGCACACAGACTTGTCCTGCAGCACAGAACCTCTGAGCTCAGCCAAGGGGCAGAAGTTGGCTCCCAAATGTTATTTCTACTGCAAATAATAAAAGAATATAAAAATTAAACTGATCAGGGATTGCCTGAAGCACGTTGGAA